CGTAGTTTTTTGATATATGGCATTCACTATTGAGTTTATGAAGTAGGCTTGCCGTGTACTGCGTAAAATTAAAGGTCAGAGTATTAATGATACTACTGTACCGAAAATTTGTTTGGGATATTGTAGCTATATGTAGCAAACACTGGTATTTTTAATGGGATGATCGTTAACTTCAATCCATTTTACAAGCTAAGGATGGCACGATTAATTCTTTTCATCCAGTATCTGTCTGGCAATCCGTTAATTACTAAATCAGAAGATGATAGAAACTCTGCCTGATGCGTAGCGTCAGGAAATGACCAAAAGGAAAGAGCATGATACACTGCATTGGATTGTTTTTCGATTTTATCCGCTATGGTGTCGGTTGGCTCATTTTCTACGCTGTTTTATGTGCCACGTGTTGCTATACGTTTACTTTTCAATGACCTTCTTCGGCGACCGTCATGCTCGTTCAAGCCACTGATTGGCCCAGAGTATTTTTATATCGACGAGACCATGCTAATTCTAAACGACGAAATTTCCCGCTGCCCTTGTCATCAGTGCTTTGCCTGATCAAAGTCAGAAGTGTACTTATCCAGACCTAATAATGACCTTTCTAAGTGATATGAAAATCGATTGTTGCCACGCAGCCTGAGAAGTAGTAAATGACATGGGCATTCCATTAAAGCAGGGCGTATGAAAAGAGGCTTCTACACTGAAGTGAAATTTTTTTGTCACTTTATATTAGGGTCTATTGTATTGTGATTTTTTCTATTTTTCACAATACAGTAGACTCTTATATAAAGTGTCACCGGAAGTCATACGCTTGCCATTGATTTTCAGTGAAACTTTACGAAGCATACTTGAACATTTACTTTGAACTTCAGAATCAAGACCGGAAAAATTCTGCTAGAAGCTTACACCAAACTCTTCTTCATATGGTAACCCATCGGAACATATATGTTGATCTGTTGTAGTGTGTCGCTACTCTTATGTAACATACCGATCTCTCGATGGCCAATCGTCGAAAGCCACATTTCCTGTGTATTACAAAACGATGTAGTTCAGTACAAGTTTACCTCTCGTATTATTGCTTTCCCTCTTATTTGCTTCACGTGCCACATAACTATTTAATCCTCACTTTAGTATCGTTGGATTTATTTTGTTTTTATTTTCTGTTAATCTTACTTCATTTTTGCATTAAAATAATGATAGCTTTAAATATCTTTAAAGTGGTGTAAATTTTAGACATGGCAAATAGTTTCATTAGGATTTCAACTACTCTTGAAAACCTGGCGCATAGTGAAAAGAACGAAGATTTTTTACGGTATGCATAAACGTAATCATTTGCATGTCATTTTTAAACGATATCTCTGTGGCCTTCCCGGCTCTTGATATTTTCTTTTCACCGTTGTGGTCGGTGACTAACTGATATAGTCCGCTCGTGAGGGTACCAGTCATTGCTGACCATCTTCCGTCGTCTCTCATTGAGGTTCTTCCTTCATTTCATTCATTTGCTGTATGGCGTGCCTGTTTTCGCTTATGGGGACTTTGAGCACACTCATTGTTGGAGTGATGGTAGGGGACGGGTTTCTTTGACGCAGAAAGCTGGATATAAGAGTTTTTACAAATGATCTGTTCCTGTTTGCTAATTTGCTCCGAATTTTCAGAGGCTTCTCTGGTCTTGGCTCTTTTCACTAATTTTTGCAATCAAGAGGTCTTGAAGTCCTCCTTCAGCTTCCGTGTAATGATCATGCAGAGATTAGAGAACTCCACCGTGAGGGTCCCTTATCTCTTCATCCTCATCCGCTTCGCTTGCAGACTCGTCTCTTCTGAGATATGTTTTCACTTTTTTTATTACCTTGGCTGGCTTGACGAAGCGCCTCTTTCTCAGCAATTTTCTCTTAATCATCGCAGCTGCGCTTGGAGTACTGCCTCGGTGGTTGTCTGCCATTTTTCATCTTCTGTTCCTTCCTCTTGATCTACTCCTTAAATATTAGCCTGGCTCACACCAGTCCGTGATCACTGCTGAAATTAAATAATGACATCATGTCTCAGATGAGACTACATTTATTGACATGAACGATCTGGTTCTTCTTCGCTGCGTTGGGCGTGATCAGTGTCCACATCCTGTTGATCGTCTTCTTGAACCAGGTGCCGCCAGTTTACAGGTGTTTCGTTTCTGCCATAGTCACCAGCTGATCTCGTCGCTCATTTCTATCTCCTCCGGCCCTTCTTCATGCCACCTTGGCAGTGAAGTCTCCCAGGATGAGAGTATAGTGGACCATAAGTTCAGTTCTTGATAAAATACTTCATCTCTCTCCTGGTCAGCTGTATAGGGTTGGACGATCTTCAGGATTCTTTTCTTGTTCAGTTGGAATTACAGTTTTGGTGACTTGACATGTCAGTATACGACTTTCGCTAACTACAAATCTGATTACTCCTTTGTTTTTCGAACCTTCCTTCTGCAACTACCATCTTTCCAGATACCATCCATCTCCTTCTTCCGTCGTGTCATTTATGCCGCTGGCCATATCTGAACCTTCCTTTGATTGGTTTTAGGTCTCATCCCTCGCAATTGATTTACAGTTATAGGTGCATATAGCGAGGAAAGTCCGCGTCCATTTACCAGATGGCGGCGTTTTACATATTTTTGGCAACCTCCGAACACCGACTCGGATCCGCGCAACGAGTCAGGAGTCCGCAGGGTACATGTTGTCATAGCGCATGAAATTTTGCATCCCTCTGGTAGTACTTACGGTAGCCTTCAGAATTCCGTACAGATGGCCCCCCCCCTCTTATTCCGTCCGGGATTTCATCGAAGCTGTCTCTTCTAGCCTTAGACGAACCAATGTCTAATCGCAAGATCTACGACTCTTTGACATGAGAGTGTCATTTGACATTGTGGCTTTTTCTTTGAGGGTCGAACTTGTCAAGTCGTCCAAGGTGGTCTCACTTTTTTCTGCTCGCGACTGCTTGTTTATCATATCTAACCTCAATACCCGGAAGTCGTTCCCCTATCCACAGTTCAGGAGGCTACAGATGGCCAGCAGCTAAGCACATTGAGTAGTCTTATTTACATAGGGAAATAGTGTACTGATTTGTTATTCATTTTTCGGATTCATGTAACTGGCGTGTTTAGGTGGCTGTTAAAGTTTGCGGAAACGTTCGATCGGGTTAGAAAGTTGGAAGCGAGAATGGCGTCTGACACGGATCTTAAATTGTCTGGTGAGGAGAAATGCGACACTATTTCGCCAATTTCGCTTCGTTTTCTAATATCGTGTTTAGATACTCTAAGATACTACAGCAGCGATGTGCAGTTGGCCAAAGAGCTGCTGTACCGCAGATTGCGCTGTTTGGCCAACTATGAATTAGCAAATAAAAACCTGGAACGGGCCAGAGCGAAGAACAGGGACATAATTAAGGTATCATATCTGATTTTAATAGGAAGACTGATTTAGAAACGATGCTCAGTTATTATCCAGACCATGTTCTTTGTGTAAGGTGTAGATACAATGACACATCAACCCTTTTTTCTGGTTTTCAGATTTTCTGTTGTGCTCGAGACCAGGATATTCCTTTTCTTTGGGGCAATGTTACCTTTCAGTGAATAAAACATACGAAGTAACTGATTTAATCAAGAACGGTTATCATTGTATCGCTAGTCCGCAGTTATGAGATTTATGGCATGCTTTTGCAGCTGCTATGTCGACCGAGCATAATGCACTTCACCATACACTGATCCTAGTATCTTAGAAATCCGAAAATATGGTAATGGTAATTTTTGAGGTCTTGTAGCTATGGATGGTTATTGTTAATTGTGGCGAATATTTCGATTGAATATTTTCCAGAAAAGTCATGTCAATAGTGCCTAGATGGAACAGTTCATTGGAACTCCAAGCAGTTTAACGATGTCTAACTGCAGAGAGTTTTCGATAGACAGGCAGATCTTCTGCTGGCGGCAAGAGTTCCTACCAGGAGTTTCGTGTATTAACTGCTTAAGATGCACTGAACAACAAATAATGTTTCATTCAGTCTTTAACGTGCTATCGACTGCTGCCCTTCACAAGGCATTAAAAATTCAGCTCCAGTTTGTCACAGCCGCTTTCCAGCGATTGCATAAATGCGAAATAAATTCATCCCCGATATTCTATCCGGTCGTCTGGGCAGTTAGCACCACCGGATTAATGGAGAGCACAACCGCCTCAAATGTGCCTGTTTGTAAATACGAAAAATTTTAATAGAGAATTGATAAGAGACGCAGATGACTTCTTTTGAACGGTCTTTAATGGCTAGTCAGAAAGGGCTTGCCATAGAGACACGTTAATATCACTGCTGAATATTTGGTAATAAATGACTTTTCTTGGTCACAGTTAAGCATCAGCTGTGCATAAGGAGCTGTGGACATTTAAAGAGCATTAATCAGGGCTATTTGATGATGGAAAATGGACAGAATGGGCAGAACACAGTAACAAGTGGTGCCAGTCGTGAAGATATCGTATCCCTTTTGCCATATCCAATAAGTCAAGTCAATTTAATGATGGTTTAATTGCTGCTCGGTATGTTTTTTTCTGTCTTTGTTTCCTACCCAATGAATACACCGAATATGTTGTTTCAATGTTCCAAATGTTTCTTCTGTTATGCAGGCCGAAAGTGATCAACAGAATGCGTGCCAATTATACGAAAAGATGACGAAGCAGGCTCGAGAAGGTATATTTATTTTTTGCGCTAATTTTGTAACGTTTACATTCATAACAGAAATTTGTCACTGACGCATTCACTGCTTTTACGTTAATTACCACTTTTGCCTCGTATTAGTTTCAATATCTTTCTGTGTACAGAGTGTTGATTGGCATGATGTACATAGGATCGATATGACGATTAAATGAATATGCTCAGTAGAATCTTCTGTTGTTCAGATTTATGCCCGACTAGGCGGATGTAATATAATTTAATGATAATTCTTTCTAGATTGATAATGTCTTATTTTTGATTGGAGTGGAATTATACTAATTTATTTAGGTGAAGGTTAATTTCTGTTCCACGGTTCAGGATTTGAAACGGTATTCAGTTGATTGTGCACCAAATTCCGGGTCGAAAGGTTCCGGGTTCGAATCTAGGCGAGGCTGCTATCCTTTCTTCTTTTCGAAGTTAATTAATGAGAACCACTGTGTAAGAAAGGTGCAGCAGATTGAGAGCTATGTTTTGCATGTGGCTGTAGATATTGGCTAATGAGATAACATTCCTCCCTGTTGGCATCCAATCAGACATCAGCGTCGTACCAAAAGCTGCATGAAACAATGATGTTGCGAGAGCGTTGATCATAGAGAAGCAATGGATTCCAACATTTTAACGATGGCAAACTTTCGTTTATTGTTCCATTAATTAGTTGATGAC